GAGGCTCCAAAAAGAGTACTCATTCAAGGACGAAGACGTTCCAGCCATCTTCGAGACCCTTCTTGAAAACAACAAGATCAAGTTGCCACCCATTACAAATCAGGAGGAAGCTGATAATACTACGGATCCGAAGTACTGCGTGTACCATAGGAGGATCCTTCATCCCATCAAGACTTGCTTTACTTTAAAGAATAGTATCCAAACCTTGGTTGAAGCTGGCGTCATAACGCTAGGATGAGCCAAATGAGAATGGCAACAATCCGAAGAGTATACGAGTATAAACTGCTTCTCATGACTCCGACAAGTATAAGAGTATAAACTACTTCTCAATCCTCCGATCGGTATAAGAGGTTAAACTGCTTCCTGATACTCCAATAGGTATATGAGTCTAAACTGCTTCCTACCGTTGACGGGAAGTTCCTGGAGAATGTTACGCTAATATTCTTAAGGATAACCCGGTCATGTGTGACGCCCCTGGGTTCACACAAGGCTGCAGTCCAAGGTGAAACCAAGAATGTCAAACCTGCTATGCACCACACCGTGCAATAACATGTTTCACCATCACAATTCTATCACTCTAGTAGAGTCAATAACAGGTGTAGGTACAAAAGCAAGTAAAAGATGATACACGAAGGGCTGATGAAATGATAGTGATCAAATAAATATCTCATCATCCAACAAATGGAAATACATAGTCAATGTCTGAATAAATAAACTGGAATAGTCACAAGTCTCAAATACAAATATCTGACAAGAATAAATAAGGCACTCCGCCTTTACAAATTCTAGAATAATACCCTCAAATGTCTAACCACACTACTGTGGAGCTCAAAGAAAATAATACATAGCTAGAAAGTAAAGCTGAACACTAATGTGGTCCGCTATCAACCTGCGGCTCTCTGTGCTCCTGGCTCGTGACCTGAAAGGGGGAGGGACAACGAGCGTCAAAGCGCTAGCGAGTAACATCACAACCAACCCCAAGGGAAAAGGGCTCGTTGTATAAGAAAATACATATAATATATATAATAGATCTAAAATCATTGATCCTACTAAAGAGGGTTTTAGTATTTAGAAATTTACAACACGAGCATAGGTACGTCGAGCGAAATAATCCAAACAAGGAAACCCTCATGTATATACCTTGTATCTCAAATTGTAAATCTCTAAACGCCAGACCCGAGGTAAATGAATACAGCTAATCTCAGAGCAAAAATACAGTGCCATACCATAGCTAACATGAACATCATGTTATTACTTACATGAATATCATATCGAGATTTACATAAGTGTTATGACATAAACTCACATGAGTGACATGTCAGAAACCGATTAAGTGTCCGAAACATAGACTATATAAATTAAACGTCCAACTCATGGACTGAATATAACCGTTGTCCAACGCATGGACCGGATGTGACCGTTGTCCAACGCATGGACCGGATGGTAATGTATATCCAACACGAGGATTAAATAGCAATGCATGTCCAACACGAGGACTAAGTGGGAAGGGTGTCCAACACGAGGACTAAAAGGTAATGCTTGTCCAACACGAGGACTGTGGATTTTAGTCCAACACGAGGACTGTGAAATGGTGAACATATCACTGGGATACATAGTGAAATCTACCTATATCAATTCACAGTCAAAACAGTGTATGAATCTATAATTGATACCCTCAGGTCTTCTATCATGCCTGGGTACATAGTAAGACCAATTAAAAATGTCAGATAGTCCAGGAAATCACTCGAACCTGAACAAATATTCAAAAATGTACAAAACAGGGAAAATGCAACAGAGAGTGCTGCGGTCGACCGATCCGGTCGACCGAACTCTGGCAAGAGCCTGGCGGTCGACCGCTAGGCATCTCGGTCGACCGACCAGACGTCGCGGTCGACCGGATAAATGTCGCGGTCGACCGAACAAACGGCGGTCGACCGAACAAACTTGGCGGTCGACCGAAGCCCTAAAACGAGCTCAGCGGTCGACCGCTCCGGTCGACCGCCAAGCGGACAGAACCCATATCTGAGTTTCTGTCAGCTTGAAACCTGAAACAAAATTTTTGTCTTGTAGAGGTGTCATGAATCAGTAAAATCACGAAAATAAATCTTTAAAACTTTGCCACCAAGATTCCATAAATGTATAAACATGATTTACTCATCGTTAATAATAAAAACAGGGTTTTTACTCCTTTCCTAGGTATTTTCAGATCTAGATCTGTTAACAGAAAACGTTGGTGAGTTTTTAAAATAGATAAAATCCCAAATCCATATTCTATGCCACAATACTCTATTAGCTATTTTAAAATACGAATTTGGCTCCATAAAAACTAATAAAAACTCAATTCTTGACATGAAAACAAAAAGGGTGGGGGTTGGGCGAGAAATTACTCGCCTTGGGTGTAGATGAACTCCCAAAAACAAGTGAGAATGATCCTCCTTCGCTGAACACCGATGGATCTCGCGTCGACTCCTCCAAAATCCTCCAAGAACGGATCTAGGGTTTGGGAGAGAAGAGGGGGGGCTGCTAGGGTTGTAAAAAAACAAAAGAAAAGAGGTGATTTTCGTGATATAACCTGTATATATATAACAGCAAACCCGAAACCCGAAACCTGAAACCCGAACTGGAAATTCAGTCTGACTAGGAACATTCTCTTCGGTATTTTGGCTATAACTTTCTCATACGACTTCGGAATAAGGTGATCTAAGATTTGTTGGAAAGCTCTTGAAGAGACCTACAACTTTTGTTTTATACACTTTTCCAGATTCTTAATGAATCAATGAGAGAAACATAAAAACGCTCAACTGGTTAAAATTCCCAGATTCTCACTTTTGGCCTTTGTGCATGATTTGTGTATTTGTACTCACATATATACATATATACATTGAATTGATCTCAAATCAGTTCCTAGCGTACTCAAACATCATAATATATTATTTATAAATGTATAATATATTTATTATTATTTATCATAAAGTATTCAAATTTTCGGGGTTTTACAGATGAAAAGTTTGCAAATGAAACCTTATCTGCAACCAAAAATTTTAAGAAGGAAAATTTTACTCATGCATCATACACAATATTAGTTGTAACATGGAAAAAGTTGGAATATACATTATAGCCTACATAAAAGTCAAAGACCACAAGTATTTTTCCATTTGAAAAATGGACAATCAGGTCAATATACTGCCTCACTCTAACAAGATCAGCTCGAAGGTGATAATCTGATCATCCATGTTCTTTTATATATTGAAAGGACAATCAGGTCTAGAGTTTCATAAAAAAAGACAAAGAGTTAGAAATTATCTCTAGCTGGGTGGCTCTTATATATTTGTGAGGTGAAATTAAGTGACACATAAACTTAAGGAGTAGGACAAAAAGTCCCTACATTGTACTGGCTGCCATGGCTTTTCCAAGAAAAAAAGCAACGAGAAACGAATAATTACCCTTGAGCCAGAGGAGGAGAGGTCTCTTGTTGAATGATGTGGATCGAGAATTAGAAGATGCTCCTGTTTTAGAAATTGAGAATGTAGATGATGAGCGTATCACCACTGTGAGAGTTACAAATGAATGGAGTAACTTTAGAGATGATTTAGCTATGCAAATGTGGGATGAATACGACTTTGAGAGGGGGCTAACATCCATAAGATTTGATCCTAAAGTTGGTCAGCAGTTGTGAATAATTTTATGTCTTTGATAAGTTTTATGATCTTTGATTATTGCCATTATTCTTCAGCCTTCATTACTAATCAACCTTTGTGCTTCATTACTAATTCTATGTCATTCACTTTGGTATGTATTAGGATGACAAATAAAGGGAAACAAATTGCATCTCAGTCGAGATCATATGTTGTGTGGAATCGTGATATGGACTTAGCTTTAGCTAATGTGTTGTACGATCAAATGAACCAAGGATTAAAAGTTGATGGTACTTGGAAGCCTCAAGTGTATCAAGTTGCGGTTGATGCACTAAAATCATTTAATAGCAACTTGAACAAAGATAATGTGAAGAATCGACTCAAAATTTGGAAAACACATTATAATGTTATCTATGACATTAAAAATAAAAGTGGTTTGACGTGGTGGGATGATGAGAAGAAAATGGTGATTATACCCGCTAGTGAGCAAAAAGTATGGAGCGACTATGTTACGGTAATATTACACTTTATACTTATTAATTTGAATTATTAGTTTGTTACATATATCTAAAAACATTTGTGAATGTTCTTATATTGCAGGCTAATCCAGATGCAAAAGGCTACTAGAATTGTTTGATTGAAAATTGGGATGACATTATGGTATTATGTGCAAAAGATAGAGCCAATGGTGAAGGTGCAGAAACCTTTGAAGAGGCTGCTAACGCAATGCAACATGAGGAATTTGAAGCACAATCTGAAACAAATGAAGGTGGAAGCTCTTCAAAGAAACATCTTCCTAGAGCATCAACTAGTGGTGAGATAAGTTCAAAGAAACAAAAAAAAGGGATAAAATGGCTGATTCACTTGCAGTGATGGCAGCTTCTATGAGTGAGTATTTTAATGAGAGAAAGAAGGAACTAGTAAGAAAACCACCAATCGGAGAGGAGATTCATCAAGTGGTCTCAAAAATACCCAACTTAAGTCGCATTCAAGTGTTCAATGCATTTGAGAAGATAATGGATAGCAACCCGGAAAAGTTTTATTTGTTGAAGTCACTTCCTGATGATGAAAAAAGAGTTTTTATTCTCTTTATTCTTAAGGAGTAGTTTCTAGTTGGATAACAAGAACCCCCAAATCTTTGAACCCATTTGAGTAAGTTCTCTCTTGGATTTCTTCATCTCGATGTTATTTGAACAATATTTTTGACCGAATATTTCTATTTTTTTGATGATTTTGATGGATTCTTAGGTAATTCAAGCAAGGAGTGATTGTCTCATCTTGAAGGTACAATTTTTTTCATTTTACGGGCCTTATACATTTATACACTAAGATCATCCACTCTTAACGAAGGAAGAAAGAATAAAAAAAGGTTATGATATGTATTGAACTTGTGAAATAACCCCAAGTTTGTCTTGCAATATTTTTACTATTATTTAAGCTTGTTTTATTAGTTTGGTTTTGTTTCGTGGAAAACCATTCCTGACTTAGATCACCCCAATTTACTAGCGGACAATTGTGTGGAGAAATTTGATAGAAAAGTACATAGATGTTTGTATGTTCACAGAATAGTGCCTATGGATTGATTTGTGAAACTTGGACAATTGTGTGGACAAGGTGACACAGGCGCCTTAAGTTTGGAGTGCGTTGCAGTAGCGGGGGGGGGGCGGACGGGGGGTCGCGAGAACTCCTAGTTTTTTCAAACAAAGTTGAACGGTTGAGCAGTGATGTTTCTGATTGCAGGAAAAGAAAAACCGTTACTAGTTTTTCCAAATAAAGCTGGACAGTGATGTTTCTGACTACAGCAGCAAACTATTTCTTTAGCTTATACATTCATACATTCTGGATGATCATAGTATATCTGCAAATCTCTTCCTTGTCACATTGCAAGCATCAAACCTTTTATCGATTCACACATTGAAGCTTGCATGTTGTCACTGAATTTTACTATTATATATAATGAAAAAAGATTGAAGAAGTTTACGTGCTCTAAAAGTTTAATTTCTCATCTACATTTTGGTTTAATTTGTTAACTTGTTAGCTTGATTAAAAAAAATATTGATCTGCTCATTTTCTTTGCAGGTTTTAGGCTTATATAGTGATGTCATATGAATTACTCTTTTGTTGCTGCGGATAGGGTTTATCATATAGTGATGGCACTTCTGAATTCTCAGTTGTAATTTCTTTATATCGAGGATAATTCTCTTCTCACATGCTATTCAGTTTGCAACTCTTTGTATTTTTTTCTTATTAACATTTCTCTTGGTATATCAAAGATCAAATTGACTATGTAATTGTCAGTTGTACCTGCATTTGAGAAGATAATGGAATTGTTACTTATTTGCTCTGAAGTCAAGTTATTCTCACTTTAAATATGTGTGAAATATGAAACAAGCCTCTAAGTGTTTTCCAGCCTGGATATCTGTGAAATATGCAATGGTAATGTATTATTTAGATGTTTTTTGTAAGATACTTGATATGTTTGTAGAGTTTTCTTCATTTTTATTTTGTTGAAACTCTTGCAAGTTATGGTGGACAATGAATTTGAAAACTTAGCAAATGTAGCTACCATTGTCAAAATTACCTAAATTTGTGTTTTTTGGTTACTATTTTACATATCTCCATTGCATTTGATGTAAACAAGATGGGTTAACCTAAATTTGTGTTTTTTGGTTACTATTTTACATATCTCCATTGCATTTGATGTAAACAAGATGGGTTAAGAGAATAAATTTTTATCAATTTTCCATTGCATTTGATGTAAACAAGATGGGTTAAGAGAATAAATTTTTATCAATTTTAAATTCAAATTCATCTATAATAAAGTACTCAAACACTAGATTTTGAAATCAAAGATTTCAAATCCTTTCATTTAATAAAGATATCCAAACAAAAGATTTCTTAAATCATGGATTTCAAATCCTAAATTTAAAATCCCTTGATTTTAAATCAACTTCCCAAATCCAAATCAAAGTTCCCAAACGCAGCCTAATGGAGAATAGAAGAGAAAATGATTGAAGTCGATTCAACATCAACGGTAAAATCTTCAAAGCAACATCAACAATCCTTCCAACGTGGGCTGCAACTACTTCCTTAAAGCTCTCTTAAATGAAAACTTGAACAAAATCTAAATATTTCATCGATTGAAACCCTAGATGCGTGGGATCCTTCTCATTGATTCCAAAATCATTCTCGTTGATGTTGTTGCTGGGCGAATTATTGTATCCTTCTCTGAAATTAGGGTTTTTGGCTACTCCTCAATGATCAAGCCCCTAACCCTAGCACGAAGAGAGGAAGAAGATAGAAGAAGAAATAGATTCTTATTAACATAATAAAAAGGTAGGGGACATAATGAGGGGTATTTTAGGAATTAATGAGGGTATTTTTTCACATTATTGAGCTGGCAATGTATCGGGGGGCTAAAACACATAAAAATTATGCATTTGAGGCTTTTGCACATGGCCCAAAAGTATATGGGCTTAGTCAATTGCCTTTTCATTTTTAGGGCCTAGACACAATATTTATTTTTTCTCTTTTTTCTAATACAAGGAAGCCTTGGCATGGCAGAAGGATCCTTGGGATCAAGCCCAATTTCAATCCCCAACTCCAATTGGGAACACTCTGAGTGAATGGATCCCACCTCTCTTTTCTATACTCCATGTTAGACTGTTGGATTCGAGCCAGGGATTTGAGGGTATATGCACTATTACCATATGTCAAAATTAATTTTTCTTCACATTTTCTTATTTGTCTTTCAACTAATTGTAAGCATCTACTGCAATCTATGTAATAGAGAATCTAACTATAGATGGGAGTATATAATAGTAATTTTGCATAAAATTAATTTTTTACCACGGGGAAGAGGTCATGGACAATAGGGGAATACATGGGAATAGGGAAGGGAGGGGGATCATCTGGTTGACAGAGGAGTGGCGGTGTTAATGCAGTGACATTGCCTAAATGACGATTGGGAAGATTGCTTCTGTTGAAACTGGATAACTACATGCATACAATAAGGTAAATCTATATCTAGGTTATGCACAGCGGAAATAAAGAAACCCTATCATGCTTCTAGGTATCGTAAACAATAAGTTTGGGGTTACCGATTCAGAAATTTTCTATAGAATCACCATACATTTCTTGAGCAACAGCCAGAGGGAAACAATAATCACATTTTTATTACATTTTATACCCTCATTATCTATTTGATTTAAATAAAAAATATCACTAATAAACATGTTTTATCTTAATTGCAGGTTAATGAATAAAAATCCAAAAGAACTCAACATCTTATCTCTTAAAAAGCCCAAGAAGTCCAAGCCCATACACACAAGAGAAGATAGGTCGAAAAACAAGATGACTAAGTATCGATACCATTATCGATAGCGGTATCGATACCCTTATCGATACCCGTATCTGTTGACCCTATAGTTTTGATGATGATTTGGCAAACAATTTATTACTAATATGTTCTCTAGTGTTTTGTGTTTATGTTTCTCTTTTCAGGTATTTCAACACACTTCAGTCAAGAGTTAAAGATTCAAGTTCATATGTGTGGATTTACCTAGGTATATGTTTGGTTTACTTACATATATTGTATGATTATATCTAAGCTCAATATATGTACACTTAACACGATTTTTGATGTTTTCTATCATATAAATGATTTTTCATCAAACGTTGTTACAATAACTTTTATCTCATGATTCATCAAACGTTGTTACAATAACTTTTATCTCATGTTTACAGCTCTTTCGTACTTCATTATATACATACAATACATGCACAATATATATATACACATGTTTACAAGCTCTATGTCAATTTTCATGTTCTTGAAAAACAGGTTTTCTGAACACTTTTCAGAAACAGGGAGTTTTCACAAACAAAAATTGATTTTCCAAAAATTCCTCTTCAAACACATTTATTTCATCATTTAGAAACTTTTCCCAAAGTTTCACTATTTTTGGATTTGATTTGATATTTTTAATGAATTTTCAAAACTACCCTAAAACCTGTCAATATGCAAATATCAGTTTTCGGTCGACCGGTCCGATTGACCGACAGTTGTTTTCTGAGCTCATGCTTGCGGTCGACCGCACCGGTTGACCGAGAGAACCTCCGGTCGACCGAAAATTTCGTCGGTCGACCGCCAGCTTTAAACTCTTATTCTCTGAGTTTTTGAGCTTAGCGGTCGACCGGACCGGTCGACCGATGAGTTATCAGAACCTTTATAACGGCTAGTTTTTCTACCTGTTTTCAAACTGGTTTTTTGGTCTTTTACCTATTTTTTACTGTTGTATTGGGATGCTATATATATCCCATTGCTGTTCTTCCTCTCCACAACTAAGAAATCCAAGTTTGGTGTTTAACAAAATATTGATTGTGTTTAAGAGCTGTTTAATAGTTGATTTCATCAATCAGTTTTTCAAGAGAAGTTTTTCTACAACAAGAAGTGGCATTCAATCCTATTGGAATCATCTCTACTGTTCTTCTTGTTTGAGAAGTCTTCTAAACTCTTACATAGCTTATTATTTCATTTTCATTTCATTTAGCTATATCTATTGAGTTTCATTCACTGTTATCACACACACTTATTGAGCTTAATATTTTCATACCATATAGTGTGGGGTGTGATTTAGTGAGTGTGAGCTTCATTGTGTTCTCACTTGTTATTTGAGAACAAATCATTGTATTTAACTTTTATTTGTGAGAATCACTTGTAATACACTTGTACACCGAGAGAAGTGTGAGGCGAGACACGGGGTCGAATCCAATAGGAGGGGCGGCGATTGACGAACCTAGGGAGAGGTTGTAATCGAGCACTTGAGGAGGAGGACACGGGGTAGGTTCCTACACTTAGTGTGTAAAGTGTGATTGCATAGTATTTGTGTTAGTGTGAGAGTTTTTCGGTGATCTTGTAAACCGTGTGTGTAGAAGTTCCGGCTTCCAAACCGGATTGTGATAGTGGATATCTCCTCGAGGTGAGGAGCGGGGACGTAGGTCGTGGTGACCGAACCTCGTAAACATATCGTGTGTTTGAGTTTTGCTTAGCGTATTTTTATTTATCTTTATTGTTCATATCCATATCATATTTCTTCTTGCAAGATCAAATTGATTTCATATCCATATCATATTTCTTCTTGCAAGATCAAATTGATCAACACAATTTTAATTAGCTTTTAATTAGGATTAGATTAGCATAAGACCCTAATCCAAATTGATCAACACAATTTTAATTAGCTTTTAATTAGGATTAGATTAGCATAAGACCCTAATCACCCCCTCTAGGGTTTAACAGTATCGATACCAAGTTTATTGTTACAGATTAAAGTCTGTAATTGATTAACTTGGGGACCAAGTTTAATCCAAAGATTGATATTAGTTGTAATACTCTATAAATAGGGGTAGAGAGTGCGGGGTTTGGGTGTAAAATATTTTGTAAAAACTCTTTTTGGAGAGGAGGGTTACCCTTAATTGAGAAGACTTTCCAAATTGTAACTTTTTGTTACAATTAATAAAGAAATATTTTCACCTCTTCATTTTTTTCTTTTCTTCTCTTTGTTTGATTATAAAGATGAAAGTGAGATGAAGACGAAGATCAAGATGAAGGCTTATTATAACCTTGAGGCTAGAACCCTCTTGGGATGTAAATTTTTCTTTGTTAGTAAATTTATCTTTTTCTTTTTTCTTGTTTAAATATCCAAGATGCTAGAACCCTCTTGCCTTAGATTTATTTTCATTCTTATAGATTAGATTTACTTTCATGTCTTTACTTCCTTACTTTAAATTCTTGCATTTATTTTGTAGTTTAGATTTTTACAATTTATTTTGTAGTTTAGACTTTATCTTGTTTAAATATCCAAGATGCTAGAACCCTCTTTCC